CACACACACACACACACACACACACACACACACACACACACACGCTCTTGTGCATAAGCCTTTGGCCTCGTCTGCATATCCACTCCATATTTTATGTCTGTTTAAAAGTTTAATCACAGAATTTCCTTCATTCCATTGGGGTTACACCAAAAGGCATTCAAACACAATGCTATTGATATAACCTTGTGTCAGAGCACAATGTGATGCAAATAAACAAGGCTGTAATCTCCTGTCCGGTGATTCACAGCAATGGATGATGATAACGCACAACAACAGCGGTGAGAAGTGTTCGGCTCCGGTAGCGAGCCTGGGGCGAGAAGTCTTTGCAAAGATGAGAGGCAGGCTGTGTAGTTGAGATGCTCATCTTTTATTCTGTTTGTCTGTGGCACGATGAAAAGCATTCTTACCAAATCCACTGGCGGAGAGGCATATTGGAGAGGGATTGGCCTTGCTGCTGTTGGCATGGCAGCAGAGTCGTGCTTGACGGCTCGGCTCACAGATAGGGCTGTTCTCAGAAAAGGCATTTATGCTCCCTGTCTGAAAGGAGAGAACTAAAAAACAGCGTTTGTGTTGATAATCTGCATCATCTCCTCGGTAGATATTGCATCTATTAATAATGTACAAGGAGGAAACTACGCAGGAGAAAGCTTTGAGAATATTAAAACACGTATTCCTTGCATCGTGCAGGAAGATGATGCTTTCTGGTTGCACCATATATAAGAAGCCTTTTGCGGTCTGGTCCTGTTTGCTGTGTCTGTTCGTACAGTTTGGTATGTATGTCAATGCATTTGTAAATCTGAGAAACCGCTGTTCGACATGGTGATTCTGAACACATGGCGATGTGTAATGATCAGGGCGCCGTGCATTATTGATGAGCCATCTGTCGAAGCTCTGGAGCCGCCTCACAGAGGAAAGTTTCTCTCTGCGTTGACCCCCGTCCAAGAGGCAGAAGGAAGCTAAACGGATATTTTATCCTTTTCCAGAAACATTTCATGCCAGTGTAGTTTGGGTTTCATATAAATAAATGTTTTACTCATCATAACATTTCTTCATTTCAACTGTGAATTCGCGGTTTTGCAAAGGAACGACTCGAGGTTTACTTTCCCCTATAAGTTTGTTTGTGCAGATTACAAACTTCCTGTGTAACCTTCCAAATCAAAACGGCAGCGGAGTCGGTAAATCTATGGACCCCACCCCCCTCTCCTGCCCCTCCCCTTCAGTTTATTTAACATCAGAGAAAATCCATTTTTAGTCTTGCTCATGTCCCTCCATGTTGTTTTATTGAAACCAGCTTGAACTGAATCTGTCAAGCCTGTGCAAAATGTAAACAATGTCCTTGAAATCCAAATATCCGAATTGGCAGCACTGAATGAGAGGTTAGCGTGCCTGTTGACGCAAATGGCAAAGTGATTAATCCCAGACTGCGAAGAGTCAGTGAAACAAGGCTGTATTGAACACAGCAGTGCAGCCACTGCTTACACACACCCACACACACACACACAGGTATAAATAATAAAGGCTGAACTCCTGAACTGCGTGTCTTAAGTGCTGAGGTTGGTCAATGTTAGCCTTGGCGCTCAGAAGATTCTGGAGCGCGGCCATGTGCTTCTGCACCTCATAATGTTTACTGGTATTATGGGTCGGCAGGGTGGCCGGTGAGAGAGAGAGAGACTGTCATGTATAGTAAATATAGGTTCGTAAAGTTTGATTCACACAAACAGCAAAATGGTGCTTTTATTTCTATTATAAAATAAAATGTCACCAATTTGTTGGATGAAGTTGAATGTCTCATATTTTTTTTCTCAGCCAAGGACCCCCTACAAGATAGAAGGTAAATGTCGGGGAGCCTCATGTTCCTTGGAATAACCTAAGTCCACTTAGACGTATGAAAGAACATCCTGAGAGAAACGTCCTGGAAAGATGTTCGACATGTTTCAACACAGAATAAACATCGTGATCGTTCCATGGATAAAATAACAAAAATCCCACAACCAAATATTATTACCATCGCCAAGGAGGTGATTTTTTCCTGCCTGTCCGTTTGTTTTTGGTTTGTTTGGAAGCATGATTACGTAACAACTGGAGTGATTTCCACAAATCGCGGTGGAAGGATGCGCCGAGTCGGGATGGTAAAAAAGGGTGGAACCAATTATTTCCTTTCTCTCAGACACTGCGAGATAAAGATTTTCACAGATTTCTCAGAGAATAATTTGTGGCTCTTGATTAAAAGAATCAGGCATGTTTGTGTCTGTAATTTGGATTCTGAAGCTTGATTGAATTTAAAAAAGACTTTTGGGCCTTGGTGGAGATAAGCGCTCCGCTGAGTGTCATTCTAGTTCTGAGAAAACGCATCGGATTTCTTCAGATACAATGTGCGGCTCTTAGCCATTGCTGTTTGTAGTCAGACAAAATGATGTGCAATTTAAACTGTGTTGCTGTTCAATTACATGGATTAGTTCTGTGGTTGTTGAGAGTGAGTGGAAATGCAATTCTAAACATTCGATATGATCCAGTCGAGAGAGGAAAACTGTCTCCAGGCCATTCAGTTTTTTTGGGTGTTTTTTGTTACCACTGATAATCCAGCGCACGACAACGTTCATGAAAACTGGATGATTTACAAAATGAGCGTTTCAACCTAATTTCTTTCGGAGTCCAAGAAGAGAGACGCAGAGTTTCCCCACAGTCGACACACAGTAGAATACAAAGCTGAATGTTGACTTAATTAAGACCATATCTCAATGACAGCATGTCTGTGGAACAGGCCTGTCAGAAGCCTGCATCAGCGAACAGTAACCACCAAACACTTAGAACAGCTGCGTCTGCTGCTCCGCCAACCAACCTGAGATTTGTCCTCATCTAATTCAGGCTGTAAATAACACACACATCTGTCATCGCAGATGAGGGCAAACCTTTATTTCCCTGTGCAGCTTTATTTGTTATTTACAATATCACCATCAATAGCTGAGGAGACAGCGCCATGGCAAACGGTAAGAGTGCTGACAGACTTGACAAGCAAATACGTAATTAAAGCAGCAACTGGCAGACACGTGAAAGTGCAAATCAAGTCTGTCATAGTTGGAAGCTGCATTGGTTGAATGAGGATAATATGATGGTAATTAACCGTCTCGGACACGCAGGGCCCAATAACGAGTGATGTCATGAGCTGCTTTCAGAGTCGCACTGAGCTCCAGATATTTTCCGAAGCTAACGGTGAGAATGCAAAATGTCCAGGTCAGTTTTCCAGCGCCCTCTAAAAACATCCAGAAAAGATGAACGAGGTGCCGTACACGTAGAGGACGCAGACAAAGACGTCAACGTGGAAAGACAATGAGATTCAAGAGATTTTGGCGATAGGGGCGGATGCCTGGCGGTGTCAGTGTGCTGTAAACACGTGACTGCTGCAGCGGAATTTATTCATCATGTCCTAACCTCTGCACCCCCGACCCAGACGCCACCCTTTGCCTGAATATTACGGACATTTCGCTGTTGTCTTCTTCAGAAGTGAAAGGTTATTCTGTCGTGTCTGAAAACAGCTTTAGGAAGCAAACTAATCTCCTCCCGCACTTTTTCTGTGTCTAACTCTAACCCAGGTACGACTTTGTGGAGATCGAGGATCTGACCGAGAACACCATCCTGGGTCGTTGGTGCGGGTCACAGTCAGCACCAACCAGTCAGATATCCAAGGGCGGTCAGGTCAGGATTCGCTTCATCTCTGACGAGTACTTTCCCTCCGAGCCGGGATTCTGCATTCACTTCTCCCTCCAGCCTGTGGTAAGCACGTCATCGACGGCCAGGAACTGAAAAAATGTGCACTGAGAGTAGTCGTAGCATTAAATTTCTCTGCCTGTGTCTCCAACCTCGGGGAGTTCACACGAGAGCAAGCGATGCCTCCCCACGCAAGCACAATTAAAATAATTTGCTTGTTGCATAACATGCTTTCTTAATTTGCAACCATACGTTTCTGCCGAAGTGTTCCCGGGGTCCTGAGCATCTTTGGGGAGAAATGATGTTTAAGTACTTTGGAACACCAGGCGCATGTACCGCCATTTATTTTAGTTACGAACATACACAAAAGCGAGGACATCAACATCATCTCCGCAATGTGCTGAGTAAGATTATATGTTGAAACCTAACGAAGCAATACCTGGGTTTTTCTTCAAGAACCAAAATAGGGATGTTCTATAAAAAGGACCCTGGGGTAATTCAAACACACATATCAAAAATACATTTGTTTATATGCTGCCTCTCTGAGTTTCAGATTACTGCTTCTGTGTGTTTGGTTTCAAACTGTAATTTTCACATTTCCTCGGACTAGTTTGGTTTCTACTTTAAAATAACTGTTGCTCTCCATTACCGCTCTATAAAAAGCCACCTACCCTCTGACCTCGTGCGGCGTCTACGGATCCAGTCAGATGAATGTGACGGACGAGGTGTCTCGGTGTCACCGGTGATGTTCTTTGATACCAAAATGGAGAAAATAAGTAGTTTCACGTTCACAAAGCGGTTCTCTGACCCCGGGGGGATTCACTCGCGCCCCCTGAAATGAAAGTAGGAATTAGGAGGTAAAAGTGCTTTTTGTGTGGTAAATTGTCGGGCTGCTGTTCATCTGTTTCATCCTTTTCTATCATCACGCAGCAGCCAAAAGGTAATACCACCCCCCCCACACACACACACACAAAGAGACCCCTGATATTTTACTTTATACTTTCTGTTGAAATTTGTACCAGACAACATAAAAGAACATAATCCGTCTTTCTCTCGGCCGTTTCCTGTTATTTCTCCCATTTTCCTCGAATGGAGAATATAATCACTAGTTTTCATTTTGGTTTCCGTTCGTCTTTTACACCGTTGGCAAATATTTACCCAATAAAACTTAAAGAGTGTGTTCATAGCATCAGCCAAAACCCAGTCAGTACATTACCGGCTCTTATTGAAGAGCACGTGACACAAGTAAAAATTGGAGTCACAAGGTTTGTGTCACAAACAAACAGTGTGATCCCGTATATGAGTTTACTATCCATGGAATCTAACTCACATTCACACATGAATGAAGAAAGTGCTTCTATCTTTGACTTGATTTGAGTCGGACATTAGCTCGACTGAGTTTCTTTTCACACCCCCTTTCCTCTCGTTGGGACGAAGGCAGTATTTTAATTTACTCTGCTCTAACTAGTCAGCCACGAAGGACGGATCGGTCTGATTAATGTAATTTGCCATTTTCTATTTTCCTGCCTACACCAGCTATAATTGGTCAATTGCTTCTCAAACCAAGACAAATTCATCAATGAGTTAATTGGCTTTAGCTCAACACATTGAATTTAAGAGACTAGTGTGATTATTACCTCCAGAGCAAGTTCTGCTTCTGACGACTACGAGAAATATCTGAAAGGAAAGTCTTCTGAGTCTGGGTCCTTCTCTGTATCACATTCTTTCTGTCCTGGTCAGACCACACACACACTCTCACTGACAAAAGCCCAGAGATAAACTGAAGAGACGACTGCCATGTTTTAACCTGCCATGTTTTAGTTCTGTTCACTTGCTTTAAGTAAACAGCTCGACTCCTCATTAATCCCTAATGGCCCGCAGCATTGTGAAATCTGACAAGCACAACTAGGCAACTGAGGTCGTGGATAGCGATTTGTCTTCTCCCTGTAACGTTTCCTTTTTTTCTCTGTTTCTGTTCTGAAGCTTTTTGTTCTTTTATTCATCATTAGTGAAGTTTTATTCACCCGTAAAACTCCAAACAACATTGTTGATAGCAGCGCTAACTCACTCGGGCTTCACTGAACGTGATGAAAAACACGCCAGGTGGAAAATCTAAGAGGATTTCACGAAATAAACGTGTTTCACTAATGAAAATTCAACCATGTTCATGTGCTCGCACTGTGATTGAGTGTGAATAGCAGCGTGCATGCTGCGAAATCACGCACTCACGTGTTAGCTTTGTGGAATTCAACGGAAATGCTGCTGGTTCATTTTGAATAGGGTGTCGTCATTTGTTGTCTAGTGGCCAAATAAGTTGTACGTTAAAATTAACCATAATAAAAACGCTGCTGAGGCTGTTATCTGTAAACTGAGGAAGGTTTAATTGATGGACTTTAATCAGAACAGAAACATTTCATAAAAATAAGAAACGACACAAAGGTAGAAGATGTTTGAGAGATTTTTCCGATTTTTACACCAGATACGAGAGAACATTTTCTTCTGGTGTTCTAATGTCGACCTGAAACAGTTCGACGGAGCGAGTCAGTGTTTCATGTTCCCGCTCTCGAAGGTGCGGAAAGCATGTGTGTGTGGGGGGGGGGAGGCTTTGGCCTCTGCACTTTCAGTCTGGCTTCCCTTTGAACCCTCCTCCGACAGAGGAGGAGCATGCTGGAACAGCAGCACTCTGTTTCCTCTGTGGTCAACCAGCAGCTACTGAACCCCCGTGCCACGCAGGGGCCAGCACTTTAGTTTATATTTAAACAAGCAATAATTCCTCCCCACCACTTCCAGGCTATAGAAGAGGGGGGAAAAAAATAAAAGACCCGCTCTGTAATTCACAGGAAGAGACTTTAGGGGAAAGCAAAAGGGCCGAGGCAAAGGTTGTTAAAACATAGAAGAGAAGGAGTCTGTTGAGCGGAGCGTGAGGGGTGTTGAGTGGCGGGCGTTTTGATTTAAAGGATCAAACGAGACATACATCATTGTCTCTCTGAGGTCCGGAATTAAACTCGCCACGAAGATCACTCCATCACCTCTGTTTGTTTTAATGGACTGAAGAGAGGTTTACGCTCTCAGGATGTAAATCACTTCTGTTACGTTTCCCTGAATAACAGCACAAGCCAAACTCGACGCTGCAGCGATAGGCCAGAGGAAGGAGGGACTGTGATTCCAGTGAAAGAAAACGTTAATGACCGGCAAAGCAACGCAGGACTCTCACTGCTGGCATGATGAAACTGAGGGCTGTTATTATACCAACCTCAATTGCAGCGTGTGGCGTATAGTGAGAGAGAAAAAACACTTTTTTCACGCACAACAGACCTCGCTGCTTACTCAGAGCTTTCTCGTGCAAGGAAGTGGTTTGCAAGCTTCATGTGAAAGAGAAGATATTGTTTTCCAGCGCTCTCCCAAGATGCTATTTCAGAATTGTCATCTCAACATAGTTAGCTGAACCTGTCATTTCAGGGAGCAGAAATAAGAGCGTGCGGTTGTTCTTTATGAGAACAAAGAGAGCTGGAAATGAGGTAATCACAGTTCGGGAACAAGGTTATTTCTCGGGGGGGGGGGCAGGGGGCTCGGAGAGATCGGCGGTGATAAGTGGTACGTGACACGTTGATTCTGTCTCGGGTGGTGAAGGGAGAAGGACACTCAGGCTTTTTGCTGTTTGTCCTGTCGGTGAGCTTATAGAAGCTGAAACTACATTACAGTAGGAACTTGTCTCACGCTGCTCGTTTGGCTTTTTTTCTTAAAACATCGACACAAGTAGCATCTGTCAGGAATCTCCTGTTACTGAGTCAGAACATGTAAGACACGGGCCTCCATTTGAGTTTAGTACATCAGGTTTAAACCATTCAGAGATGGAAGACATGACAGCTCCCACAAAGCGAAGCCAAATCATCATCCATTGCCTCCTAATGGCTAGCTGGAGTATAGGCTCGCCTCCTCCGTGTTAGCAGATGGGATATTTAGGTAGTTCTTAGACCTCTTACAGACAAAAGGCCAAATTTGTAACTGCACAGTGTCGACCACAGTCCTTGCAACACTTCCACCGCACAGTTGCTTGTATTTATGCAGGAGACATTCAGGATTCAGGACATTCTTTCCCCTGTGAAATCCATGAACTGAGCTGTTGAGTTAAAGAAAATAAGCAGCTTTTCTTATGCTATTGAGTCTTTGTTTTTATACTATAAGACACCCGGACCCGGACTAACCTGGGGGCTCAGAGGGCCAAGGTAAATCTGTAATCTCTACATTTTATGCTGTTTCTAATCAGCATTTGTTTTTGAGTTTATTCCAAATCCTTTCCTGACAGTGGTTCCACTCTGTCTTTCAATCCCTTCTGTCTTTACGTTCCTGAAATGTTCTTACTGGTCAACAGTTTATCTTACAAATACATTAGTGTTGTTTCCAAATCGACTTGTGTTTGTCTTATACAGGAGAAAAGGTTCCTGCATCAGGTGCATGGCTCAAACTGGTTCAACTTAGTCACACAATTAAACTTAGGTGTGAAACATGCAATAAACCAATGAGAGTGCCATCTCCCATTCCCTTTAAAGACACCTTGGTGGATTGTTTTCACCTGAAAGAAAGCAGACCCTGTTTGTAACTTGCTTATTGTGCACAGGCGCATATTACTACTGTGATAATACACTTTTAAAATCACATGAAAATGCATCACTGACTTTAGACCAGCTTTTTTATGCAAAAGAGAAACTTGCAATGTGTCTGACCAGATTTCGTCTGAACACCAACACACCCACAGACACTGAGATGAGTGCGTTTGGTATTTAAACGTCAGCTAAAACTAGAAACTCTGCGTTGACACTTTCATTTGCCTCTTGAGATTAAGTTATACTGATTAGAACAATGCAATACTCACTACTGAAATTCCTGGATCATCAATCTATCATCCTCTTTGCAATGAATCACTCACGGAGCTTTACTGAGCTCGGTCTGAAAGCCGCTGTGGAGCCTCCTCTCTCTGTTCTCGACAACGTCATTAAATCTTTATGTGTCGATCTTCACACAGCCTTAAAGCCATGCCAGTTAAAGTTGGTGGTCCATTGCAGACCTGATAGTTCCTGGATTCCTCAAACTGGAGCTCTCATATTCTGCTTACGGCTTCGTTCACACCGTCTTGACGTGTCTCTGAAGGATTGCTTGGCTCCGCCATCTGAGGCCGAGCGCGCATTACGCCGCTAATTAGGAGAGCGCTGCACCGTCAACATTCACAAGCTGTTAATTGCTCCTGCTCAGAGAAAGGACTTCTCATTTCACTCTCACGTTTTCTTCCAGGCTGCTTTATGACCGGTCCCTTTCTCCAGAACAATTCTTTCACATTTGTTTATCTCAGTCGGTGCCAAATAAACCAAGGAAGTGCTCGGCGGTTATGAAGTGCTCATTAGAAAGAGTCAGATCTGTGGTGTGAACACAGCTGTGCATCAGCTGTTGTGTTGCCATGTTAAAACCACTGGTCTGTGCAATGGGACTTGGGTGTTGAGTGTTTGACATGGATTCATGCTGTCAGTAACTCTTGAAGTGTCTCCTGTGTCATACTCATTATTATAAATTATACAGACATCTCTGCACTGCGTTCATTCTGAAGGCTTACGGATACGGACCAAACAGACGTAACCAAGCAGTACCGCTGGAAATCGTAGGGGGCAGTGTTGCCAGTATTTTGAACAAGACAACCATAGGATGACAGGAAGGAATTTCAACAATGGCGGTTGATGTTACTTCGCCTGGGGACAGGGACAAAACTCTTTCGTAAAGGGGACATTATCACAACCTCCACCAACTCTGCGATGCTCTACTACTTCTATTATTACTACTACTACTATTACTACTACTACTACTATTACTACTACTACTACTACTGATAGTTGGTAACTTAAATTCTGCGGAGGACCTTCAGACGTACAAGGGACATTCATCATCTTGTCCTATATTCTAGAAAAAGAAGTGTCTTCATGTCCATCCCATGTGGTTTGAAATCTGTATTGTAAAAATAAAATATGCACTTTGGAATAAAGTCTTAATTGACATGTTTTGCCCAAGTGGTTTTTTAAAAGTGCTATGAACGCTACTATTTTTAACATTGGTAAAAACTATTCAAGAAGGATTTTACCACAAATCCTTGCTATGTCAGTGCCATGGCATCTACTGAAAGGAAAAAACATGTCCTCCTCTAACCCCCCCCCATTCCTCACTGGATTCCTTTTTGATTCTCTCCCATAAGTCATCGAAGGGAAGATACAGTTTCCTGGAATCATTTATTTTTCTTTAAAAAATATCTCTGCCTCCCCAACAACTTCTTTAAGACTCAGCTCTCAAGCAGCCGATGTGTTCAATGTTCCACAAGCAGCTTTTTTTTTTTTTTTGCAAGTGTCACAATGCGGCCTTCTACCTGTCAGTCAAAAGAGATTAGACAGACCGGTGAACTGACGTGTTGGACAAACGCAGCGTCACAGCACTGAAAGGTTTAACAGATTAGCCTCTTCTCTTGTGGGAAGACCAACACCTGAGGTATCAATCTTCTTCTGACTGAAATTGTGCAGCCTGGAGGCTTTTGGCAATAGGAGACGAATAATACTGCTGCCTGTAGCTAAAGGGACAAATGTTGTTATGCAAAGACGGAAGAGGAGCTGACGAAGACGTGATCACGTTTGACGAGTTAAAGGAACGTATGAATTCACGTGGCCTCTCGAGAGAAGGACTCCATCAAACTGAGCTGCGAGATTTAAAACATCAATATGTAATAAATATCAAACGTTCTTGATAATTATTGGTGCAGAGGGTAGTTTGCCTCTATAACCCTTTTATTCATCGTATCCTTCCCTCAATTTGAAAGCATTTGATTTCATTTCACTCAAAACCCAACTCTTGCACTCACAAAACTCCCGCTCGTGCTCCAGCTGTGCGCTTGTACTCAGATATTTTGCTGCTTGGACAGATTCCCTGCACTCCAGCTTCAGCTCTTATTAAGTGAAGTTAATATTGTATTAATACAAACACTGTAAAGAGTGGAAGCTTCCGCCTCAGCTCTCAGAATCAAGTGACCCACTGAAAACTCTGGGGGATGATTCGGAGAAAACACCCAGTCTGTCTGGAGCTCTGCAGGAGCTCTGGTCACACATTACCAGGTCTAACGCATAGATCTGAAATTGGGGCGCAGCTGGCCTGCATGGGCCGTCATGGTTTCTGTTTGACTCAGCTCCGATCCAAACCACTGTAGCATTTAATGATCCTGAACCCAATTTAAACCCTGTTTTTTTTTTTTTTTTTTTTTAAACCGGGACACAAACTGCGACACTGCAGACTCAAACTTTCCTTCTTTACAGTTTTTTCTTTCACACCGAAGACATAAAACACATCTCGTCACTGTTGACAAAGTCGTTCCATCTGTGTAATTTTCCTGTTTTGGTATTCACAGTTAGTTGGACACAGGTAGAGCAGGCACAGATCCCTCTACTTGAGGTAGAAGAAACTAATTGTCATGAAATGGATGGTTTTGTTAACGTATTTTCACAATAAACAGATAAAGTCTATGTTGTGACTATAATACACATGTAGTCTCCACCTTTTCCTTCAATAACATGCGATTGCTGAAAAAAGGCTTTATATGATTTTGATTTTGCCCCTGAGTTTTTTAAAGCACAGAAAATGGTTCAGATTAAGACATTTAATGCAGAAAGACAGTTTTTAATGTGGAAACTGAATCACTCTTGTCTCTATTGCAGACTTAACGGTGTTGAAGGAGATTTACATCACGCACAAGCACAAATTTGATCTTCTTGCAGTGAAAAGTGAAGGAAATCATGCATCTAATACATTTTGTTGTAACTTTATGTAGAAATGCAATATAACATTTTTTTATGAACTCTTCTGTTCCCTCTCTCATCGTCTGTTTCCTGCAGAGTGCATCAGCTCCTGAAGTGCCTGCGGTCATCGCTCCTTCCCTGCAGGGCATCGAGGATCTGTCGGAGGCCGTGGCGGGGCTGGGCACCGTGGAGGAGGTCATGAAGTACCTGGAGCCAGAGCGATGGCAGCTGGATATCGAGGAGTTGTACAAACCCACGTGGCACGTGCTCGGGAAATCCTTCATCCATAATAAGAAAACCAAAGGTAGGACATTTTAGCATGGACACGCAGTGAGGTACATGTCTTTAATATAATATCTGACCGTGTCCCCTCTGTGTCTTTGAGGAGGGGCTGATCTCAATCTGTTGCGAGACGAAGTGCGACTGTACAGCTGCACGCCGCGAAACTTCTCCGTGTCCTTGCGCGAGGAGCTGAAGAGGACAGATGCCATTTTCTGGCCCAGCTGCCTCCTGGTGAAGCGCTGTGGTGGAAACTGCGCCTGCTGCTCTCACCGCTGCTACGACTGTCAGTGCGTCCCCACCAGAGTCACAAAGAAATACCACGAGGTAAAACATCAACAAATTCAATAAAGTTACACTTACACAGGCCACTTTGTCTAACTTTGTTTAATTAAATCAATATTAATTGAAATGTCAGATATTGAGTTGATATTTTATATTTTTTGTGGAGTTACATGTAAATATATGAGATTGAAAAAAGTTTTATTTTCACTAAACTAATGAAATGGAAGTCAAATTTTTAAAAAAGCAAACGTTGTTTTCATTAAATTCTAAAATACGAATTAATAACTTCAAGTTCATCACATTTTATTGCTAATTCTCTTAGTTCTGAGACGAATTAATGAATAATGTGTTTATCACCACAGCACGATGAGCTGTGCACTCCTCCACATGACTACAGTGGGAAAAGAGAAACTAGAAGAGCAGAGAGTCCAATTAAATGATATATAATGGTGTTTGATGATACATCTTATGAAACAGAGGAATAAAAATGACTGGGCAGTTTAGAGATAATGCAAAAGCTGTGAAGAAAAGTGTTAAATAAATAAAGTGTTTCATTATTATTCGCTGTAGTTCTCTGGGGTTTCCTTCTCTTTAACCAATATTTCCAGTTTAGTTATTTTTCCTGTGCCACCATCACACAAACACTTTTACTTTTCATCGTGGCAGGAAGTCTCTCAGCCCAAAAAGCAAACTTGATGCCACGCGTCAAACTAATGAATGATTCATTGAGGAGAACATGATTCAGATTACACCAGCACTCATCCTTGTTTCAGGTCCTGCTTCTGAAACACCGGGGCGGAGGCCGAGGCCTGCAGAAGTCCATGACTGATGTGCCCTTGGAGCACCATGAGGAGTGTGCCTGTGCGTGCAGCGATGACTGAGACTGACCTCGCACATGTGTAACAGCCGCCACTGGAATCACACAGCACGTTGAAAAAAAAAAAAAAAAAAAAAAAGAACCTCTCCCACTGTCGCGACGCTCTGTGCCTCATCCACTTCCGCCGGGGAGCTAAAAAGATTTTCCCTTTATCCTATTGTCCTTTGGCTAATTGGATGGAGCAGGACAAACTGGAATCTAATAAAACTTCTGAATCGATTCGACTGCTGTGGAATACCAACAGAGTTTTTAGAGAGACAAAAATTCACTGGAGCAGATCTGGACTATTACCTATGTGCCCTGAAGACTATTTTCCTCAGCTCCTCGGAGATAAGAGCATCGAGGCGTTTTTTTTTTTTTTTTTGCCTCTTCTTCTCGAGGTCTTTTTTAAAGTTCAGCCTGCGTGGGCTGATAGTGTCATGGAAAATGGGAGCTTTCTTTGTTCAAGTACTTTTTTATTTGTATAAGTGAGCTGGCTCCGACGGCCTGACTCCCTCGGCTTCTCTATTATTACCATCAAGGCGAAGGAAGGTGCTTTTTCACGAGCAGTTTTCTTGTGTTTCTCCGAGGGTTGAATCTGCAGCCGCGGCCTCCTCAATGAGACGATATCACGTGTAAATATCTGCTTTTCTCTTCTGTACTTTTGTGCCTTTTCTACCAAAGATTCTCGAGGAGAAGATGAAAGTTGCACAAGCAGAACCAGCTCATTGCGGCTCTTCACCGATCTTAGCAAAGTACAAATCTGCTTTTGTTTGTATTAGATATTTATTTGTTTCATTAAAAAGGGAATTTTTCTTTGTCCGAACTATTAGCATCATTATTCATTTTACATTGTGTCATGGATATTTTTCATTTGACTGTACACCAAAGTTATTTATCTCTTTTGCAACAACTGTTTGTGTATTTCATTGTACTGAACAACAAAAAATAAATTCTTCCATTTCTAATAGGAGCTGCAGCATCGGGTGTGATGAACAGTAAACAGAAGACAACTATTGCTGGTGTATTTCAAACGGCTGCTTTGAACAGAGCTCGGAAACAACAGTGCTCAGTGTGTGTATCAAACACAGGTCGGCCCTCTGGTCGCTGGCAGCAGCATAAGTCATTAACCCTGTCTCATCATCCATGTTAGTAGATTGGACATGAACCAAACTAGAAAAAGTCAAAGTTAAAAAACGTTTTTGTAAAATGTGGTTTTTTTTCAGTTTAAATCAGAAACCTCTGATTCTAATGCTTTATATTTTTCAATTTGTTCCAAAATTCTGCAGAAAAGATCAAAATATAGTGAAGGAGAGTCTCTGTGTGTGTGTGTGGGGGGGAGGGGAGGGGTTGTAGCTGTAGGATTTTGTACGAGTTCATCAAATTTTCCCTTACACCTCTTTTTTCTCCTCATATAACGAGCTTTATCTAAAAACCAAAAGAGTGAGCACTTCTCCCTCAAGCCCTTATCGTCTTCTTTTTTAATTCCACATGCTCCTTATCAGACAATGAGCAGTGTTGTTCACCCCCCCCCCCCCCCCACAGCCATCAGGTCACCCAGGAGGAGGTTTTCATTTGTCCATCTCACGCTGCTGTCCCGGCCAATTATTCTGATCTAATGTGCGGCCTGGCAGCCATCTGCGGTGACGCCAGATGCTACTGTATAAACACACCGGCTCCCAGTGTGGTTTTTATAATAAACAGAGCGCCGTCCTTAGTGGGCGCAGTGTTACTTTGCAGAGGAAACCTCAACGCACTGGCACAAGATGTGACACAGCATGGGTTGTCCTCTCAGCGTGTCCACGCACACAAGAGCGTATGAGGATGTGACCAACTGCAATCCAGCACTTGACGCCTCCACCCTTCACTCACATGACCCCCGGCTGCTCGGTGCCTCCGTTGCCGTGAAACCAAAGCGGCCTCCGTCAGGTTAGACCGCAGCATCGTGGCGCAATTTAAATGTCTCTATTTAAACCGAGAGACTGAATTCTAATTCGTTTTGTCTGAGGAGAAAAACAAACTCTTAACCAGCACTTTTTAAAAATAATAAGCTCCTTATGACGTGCTCACTAAAATAAAAGTCTAACAGGGTAATTAACGTGAGTGGTTGCAGCCACTGTGGGCTGCAGACAAAGAGGGGTGCAGGAAATATTAGCTGTGCGTTGTACACGGTAGAACAGTTACCTAACAACACACACGTCAAGGTAATGAAGAGAACAACATGATTTCATTTCATTACACCGAATCACAACGTGCGTACGTGGTGAGGTCGAAGCTGCAGATTGTTAATCAAGATGGATGACGTGTCTCCACTTCCTCCCACCATCCAGAAAAGAAGTATTGAGGATACGGACACCGCCACCGACGTCTGAAACTTACGACGCCACTGAGATGAGTTAATTTGAATTCAGCAGATTCCCTTAAAAAGCCCGGTGAGCTTTTATCTCGGTGGATTGATATTATAAAGACGGACGACGCGTCTCCACTTCCTCACAGTTAAAAAGAAAAGCTGATCAATTTCAGATATGGATGCCATCCTTCACCACTTCATTTGGAGTCTGCGAAGTAGTGATCATGGTGTGAAGCCTCATATCAAGGTTTCGCTGTTAATCATGACCAGTCACCACATTTATTTTATTATTTAAAAAATCTTTGAGAGAAAATGCAGGATGGTGTTTATGACCCATGTCGTCCATCTTCAGAGTCCAGACCTTTAAAACCCAACAGCTCCTACGATTAAACGTTTTCAATAGGTCTGAAGGAAGTCACCTCTAGTCACCTGTCATCTGAATCCACTGGTTAGGGTGAGGGGAGAGAAATGGGGGTGAGAGGTGCGAGGGAAGACAAGAGATTGAGTCGTCACTTGCTGACGTCTTTTGAGTCCATTGGAGGTTGAAACTTCGTCAAACCAAAGACGGAGCCCCAGTGACAGAGTCTCTGTCTCCCTCCTCCACAGATAAATCATCTTGAGAAGAGGCACAGCGCTCTGAGTCCCAACATCTCCTCCTCCACGAAGACTCTTGTAATGAAATCACTGCACTAACCTCTAATAAAGCGCTATCGTGACCTTAACTCTGCATTTCTGAGAAGCTGAAGATGATGAAGCATCCCACACCTCTTCACACTCAATCAGGAAGGATGATAAATCTAAACTCAGCGCGGTGCGTCACATATATGAAAAGAATTGTCCCTGATGTCTTTCCGTCCATGGACGTATAATAAGACATCTGCAAATTTTTATTTTCTGACAAAGCTAATCAAGCAATTTCCACCATTTTTCCAGTAAATTATATTTTAATTAGTTGTTTGATGCTATAAAATGTGTCTGAAACATAATTGACAGCTGTGGTTGAGGGCTTGTATCATCAGGACTTTGATTTGTGGAGATGCTTTGTCCACCTTTAGGTTTCTGACTGAGAAATTACTCTGATTTCTTTCTGCTCATCTTGGAGAATCTTGTTCCCGTCTCAGAACCTCATGAAACCCTCCGGCTCTGCCTCATATCTCGACCTCCTGCGCTTCAGCCTGTGGGTTTCACTTATTTCTGCCATTTCCACATCCCTGCTCAGTTCACCTCCGAACAACTTTCGATTCAGTCTCACCCGACAATCAGGGGATATTGTGACATTCTTGTGTTCTTGGATCTATTCTAAGGCCTCCAGTGAAAGCGTGGGTCACTTTTAGCTGAGCCAGTGCAGAGAATGCTAATAAAGCTTTTTTTTTTTCTATTCAACAACTTATTTCCTCCACCAAGAACGTTTATGTTCTCATCCCCGTCCATTTGTTTGTCGGCGGGATTACGCAAAAACTGCTGCTGAGCAGATTTCCACTGAAGGACGGATGGTTATGGTCATGACGCAGCCTTTGCTAAGTCTCCACATTTGCAACCATCCATTTGCTGTAACTGACAACTGACTGTAAATTCCGACGTGCAGCCTGGGAATCGATTGCAACTTGAGGTCGTTCATAATTGTGCTGCACGGGTCTCCGAGCGCTGATTGATGGGGGAAAATATGGCGGCCCCCGTCCAGATGACATCTCCAGCATCCCTAATTGGTTCACCGTACACGGATGGAAAGGCCAAATTTACGGGTGCATGTTATGTTTTGATAATTATAGGGCTGCTGCAGTTGCGGGTTTCGAGGAAGCGGCTGCCGTTGCTGGGAATGTTCGCTTCTCGACTTCAGCGTATATCGTATTAATCATGGGTCAGGAAATCGTTTGCGAAAGCAGGAGAGCTCAGCGTTAAATACAATGTCGGTTGAATCATTTGACAGATGTCTCCCATTTTCAGTCTTCATCTCCTCATTACGTCCAGCGTGTAACCGCTCCATGTTACCACACGGAGATGAAAGCATTTTAGATTTACCCCAAACTCCATAGTGCACCACGCATTTAACTTCCTGCCCTGAATCCAATACGTCAGCACACTCGACAGTTTTACCAATCTTGGGAAAAACCACAAGCAAAGCAGAGCACCGTACCTGAGAGAAGAAGAGAGTTTAATGTTCGAACACAGTTTCAGAAGCCATCGTGCAAAAACATCAGACATTCAGTGAAGTGCATGGCAGGGCTGACGGACAGAGACACACAGCCAATCACTGTCATGCTCAGTTAACTGTACGAAAAACGCTGTGTGACTGAGTTCCTTCCTTTATCCCAGAGCACATCTGCAGTTAGTGATAGTGTGTGAGCTACTTCCACGTCGTGGCCCATCTCCTAGAAAACACACACACACACACACACACACACACAACATGGTGGCAGTGTTGTTGTAGATGCACCGAGGGTCGGGGGACTGATGAGCTCTGACAAACGCCGCCGACGGCCATGAGGGAAACGCATCATTAATAGAAAACAAGGTCAGAAGTCACTGAGTCCCGTGTCATGCAGTTAATTGGCAGTGAGTTTCCCTCAGCCTGGAGCTTCACCGTGTATCATCTAATGAAGAATTCAAACAGAGGAGAAGGCAGCTCCGTCCTGTCTCAGTCTGAGGTTTGACCACTTTAATGTTATGAAGAGCAAACACAAAGCGTCACGTGAGATTCCAGCCACTCAAATAAATGGGTTCTTCTCATTTCTGTGAGTGAAGCTAAAGATGCTTCGGCTCCAAGGAAGA